CAATCAATCAAAAGTCCTTAATTACAGAAAATAAAACATTTAAAATACACAAACCCCGTGAGCTGACATCCAGGAGGGGCTAAATAGTCTGTTGTGGTCTTATTGCCTTATTCTTCATCTTCTTTCTCACTTCTTTCTTCTCTTTCTCTAACGTTAAACACTACTTCTCCATGTGTGGAGCTATCCGTGAGCTGCAGCATGCAGACACCATGTACGCTAGCAAAAAGTGGCTGGGTGGAGACCCAAACTGCAAACAACTGTACCCTACACAGTTTACCACCAGAGGGTGCAAAAGAACAAAATCCGGACACACAGCTTAACAAAACATCAAATACAAAAGACCGTTACACCAAATATCGCACTCTTCAAAATGTGTTAAAGAAGCCACAGAATGGACAACCATGAGGTCCAGGAATGCATTGTGACTTCAGTGTCAACTCAGGGCATGCATTCAAGTTCTTCCCGAAGCTCCAGGGACTGGTGGGATCATAATGACAGTGCAGGTCACTTCCAGCTCACAGCTCATCTTGAACTTTGGGCTTGTTGTGCAGTCTCGACCTGCAGACCTCACTCCTCAGATATGCCCACAGCAGGCCCTCTTAGACTCAGTCTTGGTGTTTAGTTACATAATTTATTATTTTATAATCCTGTTTCCTTGTTCCTTATTTTCATTATACTTTCCCATGTCTTGTTATCAGATTTAATTCAACTGTGTGTAGTTCCACTGGTATCTCCACTCTGCCCTGATCTCTTGTTTATTCAAACCATAAAGCCGTTGTTTTGTTCGTTGGTCCGTACTGACTGTTTGGCTGCGTGTGTATTTTCCTCCATGCTTTCAATGGATTTTTGGACTTGCAGATTGGTACTGTTCTACAACATAAATAAAGATTTGTTTAATGGTATTAATTAGTTCATCTCGGTCTCTGGTTTCGGTCCATACATTCCTCAACAACATGACTGCATCAATGTCTTCATGCCAGTGTGCCTGAGGGTTTTTCCTAAGAATTGTCAGGACTGGGTGATACCAGTCAATCCACTCTCATGAGCTACAACAAAGAGACTATGTGTCTTATGCTTCACTAGTAGTTACTGGAAAAGCAGCTGCAAAAGACATGGAAGGAGATCAGTGACCCAGGCCGAGCCAGAGTCAGCCTTTGAAAGAAGTAGATCACCCACACTTGGAGAGGGGCAGTGTGGAGGTGAACTAAAATCCCTTAGTGCAGATGAGTCAGATATGATAACATTTGCACAGGTATGCCAGATCTTTCATGTTGGTTCAAGGATCAGCAGAGGTTTTTTTTTCCAACACCCATTTCTAGCAAATGGCAAAGTTAAATTGGAGTGTATTATGAGTCAGAAGGCTGAATGTTTACTTACAGTGTGTGGAGTGTTATAGGTGAACTAACAGAACAATGGTGGTCTTAGCTGTTTTGGAAAGCAGGCCGTTTGATTTGACTCTTATTGTCTACGGAGTTCCTGTCTTAGTGGAGTTAGGCCAGTGCATTAACCCTTTAAAGCCAAGTGCATCATATTTGATACATGTGTTTTTGTGAGTTTTTGAGACTTCTACATCATCAGCGTGATGTTTTTTACCCTCAAAAAATGATATAGATTGCATGACACATTTTTAATGACTAAATTACAAAAATCTTAAAGCTCGTATTTACTCGTAATTTAAACTTGTGTTAAAAAACTCATATATGCACATTAAGATTTGATGTATTTTCATTTATGTTTTGTCTAAAGGTTCAACAAACACTCCATTATCAAGTAATTAAAGATTTCTGCCAGTTATTTCAGGGTTCAGGATTTAAACGGTTAAACTCAGTGTTGGCTTGAATGTCCTTAAGGACATAACTGATGTTGTGAAAAACACTGATGACTACTGCAAGCTAGTGACTAAGAGCATTGCTTGGTTATTATGTCATCCACCACCAGACTGATGAGGTTTCTGATGAGATCATCACTGTGAAGTCCAGTGTTGGGTAAGTTACTTTAAAATAGTAACTTAGTTACATTACTAGTTACTTCTCTCAAAAGTAACTCAGTTACTTCAAGTTACTCGTTACTTTCAAAGTAACTAGTTACTA